TTCTTATCATAAATACGTATTTAAGCACTGCCTTTGCCCCTGAAACTCAGAATGGAATAATATTTTCTGGGTATTTTTTAATTTTACACAGTTAGCAAAAGAATATTCACACACATGCTTTTAATTCTGCTAGTAAAGCTATCATAATGTCAAATAAAATGTCATGATGACCACGCCTAATTTGCATTACAAATTTGGTTGAGGAGATAAATGGCCAGATCCTTCAGGGTGTAGGTCAGTCCAGCTCCAGGCATTCGTGCTCACAAGATTTCAAGGGCTAAGGATGGAACTACAGACTACTGAAATGGAGGCTTGAAAAATAATGCATTAATGAAATGCAAATCATGTTCCAGTTGTTAAATGAACCTACTATTTCAGGTGTCTCAGGCAATGAAACTGTAAAGCTGCTCTGGATGGGATACAAAAAGCAAGTAAGTCATTTCAGTCTCTGCTGATGTACAGGAGTGAAACACATCAGACCATATAAAGCTTAATATTCCATGAATGGCTTGGTCCAAAGCCCACTGAAAGTCAGTGGAAAGACTGTTGATATCTGATCCAAAGACGATTAGTCAGAAATTACGAATTTTAGGACTGTTCTTCACCCAGTAAACACTGAAGTCAGTTGATCATGGCTGGTTTATAAAACAGGAGATAATGACGTGCAACAAAAAATTAAACTCTCATAGACACACAAAATGTTCTTGCTAGTGACACTACGTAAATGCAAACACATTATTAAAAATAGATCACAATTAACATTATTCAGATTACGTTTAATTGTTTATGTAATTTGAATTTGAATGATGCAAGTCATACCATCTTTAATGACAGCTTAAAGTCAAATTTAAACAAAGCAATTGACTTTCCATATAAGTTGACGTTTTCACTGAAATACTCAAACTTTACTAATTTCCAAAGGAGTTCACCTAAAAACTTTAGTAAAGATGGATGGGCACAGTTCAATACACTGGTAGTATCTTGTAAATCTTCTTTTCCATGATAAGTACAAAGTTATACTCATCTAAACTACCATTTGTTGTCAAAAGCTATTGCTATGAAATTACACTGTGATTACTACTGAATGGCAGAATAAACAATTTTCAGAAGTTCTCCATTAAAAAGCAGTAATTGTTTATTTTAAAGAAAGAGAAATCCATAGAAGTATGTAAAAGCATTAAGAACATTGTAGTATCTAAGGCTGTATACTGACATGTGATTCTGGGTAACTTTTTTCAGAGCCTGCATCCTACAAATGGCAGATAAACTTCTCAAGATAAAATTAAAAAGGTATTAAATCCAGATGTCTCCAAACATCTACACATCCTTTCCTCAAAGGATCTTTTTTGCATATAAAAGCAGTGAAGTTAAACAGCCACTCTCAAGATGAGGCTAGAGAGACTTCTCAGTTGAGATGTAATGTGGCCCATCAATCATTCCCTTCACTGAGTTCCAGTACAAAACAAACATTGATTGCTGTTCCTCCCCACCATCTACAGAGGGTGTTTGCATGGTGGGCTGAGAATTAGCTGAAAGTTAAGCAGGAGACAAATGCCTAGTGGCTGAATTTTATGTGTATTATTGTATCAGAAAAATTCTGGAGACATGTTTGGAGTCCAAATACACTTAATAGAGAAGAGAGACTTTGCTAGTTTTTCAAGGCTGAATGTTTACTTTTCAAGCACATTAACAGGGAATTTAGCAGCTAATAAATCACAGTGGTGGTAAATGCTCTCCTAGATGCTCCTGTGGGCTTTTGAAAGTGACAGCTGAAGCATAGATGATTTCACACCAAGAAGCACTTTTAAGGCAGGCTCATTCTGAGCCAGGTTATCCCAAATCCATCTCTATTCACTGATGAGCAGTATCTCAACACAAGAAAAGTCTGTTGGACCACATTGACGCTTCCAGGTGTGTTGCATGTAAGACAGGAGCCAGAGCTCCTGAGGACTAGTCTGAAGCTGCAGTGCTCTAAGAGAGTCCAGCCCTGCACCTGAGAATACCAAGTCAGACGGAAACTGCTTTCACTTGTACTAATGAGTAAAGTTATGTTGTTTCCTGGCTCTGAGGCCAAGTTTCACTTGCTCTGCACTATGTGTTCTTGATGCTGTGTTTGCTCTGGGGCCAGTGTAATGCCTAGAGACCCTAAGGTGTAATATTTACCTTTTGTGTATCAGTTTAGAGTGTTCTAACACAGAGAGAACTGTGCAGTAGATAAGCAGGCTTGAGTATGTAAACTGTGCATATGCACTGAGTTTAGCATGAGGACATACAGGTTTTCAAAGATCTAAACCTGGGAGGTAAAATAGGGAGCCAGTTCTCATGCAGTCTTATTCATACTGCCTACTGGGAGTGAGCCCTTAAATGTGCTAGGACCCAAACTGATAGCGCACAGTCTGTGCAAGCTAATTGGCATGTGACAAAACCAGACCAGAGACAAACTAAGCAGTACAGATGCTTAACTTTGTTTCCAGGGGCTGTTTTATTCAACAGTACAGCTGTTACTGCTAACTTCTATCACTCATCAGTACGTGGCTGTTTTTCTGCATCCCATAGAATTTTTTTATACCTGCACGTATACCTTAATAGCTGTAGAACTATGCTTGGGATGTTATGCCTCTGAATATCATGAAGACAGTTGCTCTTCCTCATACAGATATGATCAGGTTGCCTGCTATCATTTATATATGCAAAATGTTCTATGCATACTAAATTAATTGATTTAGTCTCTAACTTTCAAATTAACTAAGCTGATAGGCATGCAAAGCTTTCCTGATTGGAGACAGACCATCATGTGAAAAGTGTTCATACTTTTACTTGATCTTGGACAGAGAAAACACTAAGAAGGTCCTTTCAGCTCCCATTTATTTATAGTGAGGCAAACTAGAGTTAATTTACCTAATCATTGCATAACCTCAGAAAAAACCTCTTGTGATTCAGTTTGCAGGGTAATTTATTCAAATCAACTTCCTAAACCAAGATACTACGCACGTTGCTTTATTTTTTTCTGAACAAACAATACATTTTAATTAGCAGGCAATGTGTTCCAGTGTAGAACTCACAGATCCTGGATAACTTCTTGGTGTTCAGTAACTTCTCCTTTACCAAAGAGTCAATCCTTTTGTGTCGTATTGGCAGTACATGATGTGCATTGATTGTAGACAGATCTATTTAGTTTATTCCTGAATCTGTCTAAAAAAAGGCCACAGGTACCACACCCAAAATAATAAATAGAGCTGAGAGCATCTTCAGTTACAGTATTCTTTTTATCAAACTCTGAATTTAAATAATCTGCTCTGGAAAACAGATGATGAGTTCATGTAAGTATAAATTAACACAGTGAAAACTTGCTGCTTACAAATAGTGTTTACCTCATCAGGGTTTTTTTTCTCATTCCACCCATCCGTATATATTGGAGACCCTGGGGTTTTATTTTAGTAAAACTAGTATAGATGGATAGATTATCATATTATTTCAAATTCAGAATGACATTTCTAAGATTCGTATAATGTGGAGCCTATATTGAATGGTAAAGTACTATTAAAATCAAAACGATATTATTTTATACCAACTTTAAACACAGTAAAGGCTTGATCCCTCATATATAATACCTGTTAACTACTAAAAATGTAAAAAAATTAAGAACCTTAATTGTTTAGTAACTTAATTTATAGCTAAAAAACAGGTATCTGTGTAGGGTAAGATAAAATTTGAGGAGGCATGAATACAGACAAAAGTTGACATAAAGTCACAATGAAGAACTCAGAAACCAAATGATGTGCTGAAACAGGAATCATAATTCACAATTTTTGAATGGTCTCATGGCTGGAATCAAATGCCAGTATAAAGTAAAATAACTCTTAGCAAAGCACTGAAGACTCAAGTTCTCAGCTGAAACCAAGAGGTGGAACAGTATATAAGGTGCTAGGTGAAAGCATGTTAGAAACATTTTGGTAGAACAGAGAATTATTTATAGCAAAATGCCAGAAATTGCTTAGATACTTTAATTTTTTTCTTCCTTGGTAAATCTGTAAACTTTAAATTTAACTTCATTTTTTAGACCACAGAAGAGGGAGGAATAAGAGTAAGAGATAATAATAAATAATAATAAGAAAGGAAGAAATATTTACCTTACGAGAACAGATAAATTATATTTGCATCCTTCCTCCTTTTCTGGAAAAGAAAAAACCAAGGACAGTGGTGCTGGGAAACATAATGGGTTAAGTTCTGTTATATCACTGATGACACGGAAATGCTATCGAATGTTTAATTATCGAATATTTGCCAACTCAGAAATTGCAGTCTGCGTACGTTACCCTCTTGTGCGTTCAGTCACTTGTCCTTTACCAAAGAATCAATCTTTTTGTGTTTTATTGGCAGTACATGGTGTGCATTGATTGTAGACTGTCATCTGTTTGATTGGGTTATTCATGTGTTAAACTTAATTGTGTCTGTGTAAAAAAAGCCCCCAATTAACAAAAAAAGCAAACAAAACAAAAAAAAACTCAAAACAAAACAAACAAAAACCCAAACAAACAAACAAAAAAAGAAGCAAAAAAAAAAAAATCAACAACACAAGAGCTGAGGGCTCTTTTTTGTTTTTCTCATTGTTTACCAGAGAACTTGTCAGCATCTATTAAATTTGAACATTAACACCATAAGGAACTGTAAGGGAATACCTTTTCATGCCCCGATTAGGAGAGCGGGGAAATCTTTGCTTGAGAATGTCAAGATATTCAAAGACACTGATGATTTGAAAGAAATACAAATTCTTGGAAACAGACTCATTAGTGACTACTACAGTTGACTCAGACCATAGACAAGGAAGCCCATGAATCATAGTCTAAGCCGGGTGGGTATAAGTTTCCCTGTCTCTCACACAGTTGTCCTGGTTAACAGTTAATTACTTTGAGCTAAGTGAGTGAATAAAAATTAAGCAAATCAGTAACTTTGGGTCCAGCATATTTCTAATCAGTTGTCTTTCATATTTTGAATTACAGAATCCCCTTCACCTGCAGATGAGTTTAGAAAACTCACCGAGTTCTGATGCTGATGTCACTTTCTCAATCCTTGCAATGAACAACTGGTACAATTTCAGCCTGATGCTGTGCCAAGAAGAGTGGAACATCACAGATTTTCTCTTGCTCACACAACAGAGCTCCAAGTTCCACCTGGGTTCCATTATAAACATCACAGCAAACCTCACTTCAACCAGTGACCTTCTGAACTATTTACAGTTTTACCTGGAGAGCATCAAAGACACAACGTCTACCATGGTGATGTTTGGATGTGACATGGAAAAAACACGGAGGATTTTTGAAATAACAACCCGGTTTGGTGTGATGCCTCCAGAACTTCACTGGATTATTGGGGATTCACAGAACGTGGAAGAACTCAGGACAGAAGGTTTGCCACTTGGTCTCATCGCTCACGGCAAGACAACACAGTCAGTCTTTGAGCATTATGTACAGGATGCAATGGAGCTGGTAGCAAGAGCTGTAGCAGCAGCTACCATGATTCAACCTGAACTGGCTCTTATTCCAAGTACAATGAATTGCATGGACACAGATGAAAGGAATATCACTTCAGGGCAGTATTTGTCAAAGTAAGTTTTTCCTTTTTTTCTTTTCTTGTAGCTAGTATTTATGGTATAAAAGAAAAACAATTTTTCTGCTCCTCCCCACCATTTTCAGTGGCTTAGCTATTACACCGTTAGCCCTCACACACGTTTATTTCAATATTTCCTCCTGCTTCATTCCTTCGGGGCAAATAATGAAATAAACTTGGCCACAAAAGGAAATTAAGCCAGTTGTAGAATAAGATGCTATTCTATGAAGTAGAGATCACATTGTAAACATAGGCTGGGTTACAGAACCTGAAAGTATCTTATATTTATGTTTATGCATATAAGAGGAAAAAGTCAAGGCTGGTGTCAATTCTCTGAAGTTTCGAGATACCTGAGAGAATGCAAAGCACAGTGAGAATATTTGTGCTACCAAAGCAAGCAGAGGGTATGAATGCAGATGTGTAGGCTGTGCTAGTATCCTTCCATGGAAAAGAAACAAAAAAGATGCACCCTGACCACCTCAGGGGCCACTGTTCTTGGTGAGAGCACTCAAAACGGCGAAGGGCTCTCTCTGTTGCTTGGTGTGGGAGGCTCCTCTTTCAGCTTTTGCTACAACTATTTTCGTGGACCACTGCATGTCACTATACTTAAGTTAGTCCCAAAACTGCTTGGGGATTCACATCTAGAAATATTCTGCGGTTTAACATAAGAGAAGGAAAATTGCATGGTTCTTTTTAAAACAAACAAAAAGGTCTTTGCCAGGTGTACGAATTCATCAGCTAGTTTACATCCAGTGATCGTTGCATGTTTTCCCTCCATTACACCTGACTTTCAGCCTACAGTTTTGCTGGATGGAATTTGAATAAAAGTTCTTGAAGATTTTTCTGTGTTTGCAACATTTTTTAAATTGTATCTGGCATGTGTCTTCACAATAATGTGGTAACAGCACTGCTCAAAACACAACCTTTTGAGGCTCTAACAGTTCCTTAGTCAGCATTCATCCATAACTTAGGGGTCAAAAACTCTCAAAGAGTTTTCAGAGAGTGAAACAAGACTTGGCAATAAATACTGCACTGGCTTGCAATATTGCTGACTTGTGATATTAATTTTGTCTCATTATTCTGGGCATCTTAACTAGATCATACCTAAGTTCTTGAAAAGTAAAACTCAGCAAGAGGCTTCTTATTGTAACAAATTCTGAGGGCAGTAATTTTATGAACAGAATTTCTGAGGATTATGGAAAGATTAAGTTAAAAGGAAAGCAAAATTAAAGCTCTTGAAGGTATTCCTGCAAAATATTTCATCATTGCTTTCTACAGAAAACTGTAAGCTCTCTCATGAAAAGTGACTGCTGTAACTTTGATTGTATTTTGGGAGACAATATGCAGTTTCACATCTATGAAATTTCTTGTCCCATCATCTCAGTAAAGGTACTGTGGAAAAGAAAAAAGGATCGTATGCTTAGCCTTTCTTTCCCTCGGCACTTGCTCATGGACCCTATTAAAGACAAAATAACAAGTTAGACCTCTGTTTTAAATCACTGCAGCTGTTTTTATAGTGCATGAGTGAGACAGATACCTGATGGCCTGTACTGATGTTAGCAGCGTAACTATTAGCTGTGAGTGCTACCAGTAATTTCTCAGGTGTGAAGCACCAGTGAGTGACTTAACTGTGACCAACCTTGTCCATTGCACAAGTGCTTTAAGCCAAGTGATGCACCTCCAAAGATGAAACTTTTATCTGGTGATTAACTGAATGTTTACTAATGTGGGCGTTCTTCTGCCTGAGTGAATCCATCTGTCTTAATATGCAGCCGTGGAGATGCAGTGAGGAGGGATGGAGAAGACACAGTGGCACAGACCTTCACCTACTGCGGGGAGTAACTAAGCTGGCACAGCTGACACCTGAGCTTTCTTTGCCAACACTGCACTCATACATTGGCTGTGCAGACATTATAATGACACCCAGGAGCAGAATAATGATTGTGAACAAGACCAAGATCTGCTCCATGGCAAAGCATGCTTTTATCTATATAGATACGGATATGGATATAGATGTGCAAACCCCTGAAAATTATGCTGTTGTAAGTCTCCATACATCATTCCTTTTACAATGAGGTCTATTCCCTGATCGGTTCCTGCCTGCTCATGGGAGGAACATCCTTGTTGATGGAATAAGGCATTAAAATTTCAGAGCCTCATCTTGTCTTATAGCTTTAATTAGTCTTAGAGCTTTAGCTAATTTTACAGCTTCTTGAGTGATTTCAGCAGCTTGCTGTTTGTTTGCCCATTCTAGTTCTTGCCTCCAGTAAACTTCCCAAGAAAAATGTGGAATGGCCAAACCATCAAGCTTGCAGGAAAAGGAGATAATTTCCTGAAATCATTCTTAAAGGTACTACAAAGAGATTGCTGCTTGAGTATGGTGATACTGCTAAAGCTGTAATAAGCAGTTCATATAACAAAGCACATGAAAATCAAATAAAGCTAAAATGAGCAAAATGACAGACTTTGGACTCGTTGGTCAGGCTAAAGTGATGCTGGTAAAGCTTTGATACAGCTATCAGAGCCTGTCGGTGTGATCATCAGCTCACACGTATTGACATGACATCAAGGAAATTCATTCAGCTCTCAGACTTGAGGATCTAGCCCTTCATGTTCTGAAATTTGTACACATCATATTTCCATACGAATCTGTCACTAACCCTACAGAAAAGATACTGGTCAGATATTGGCAAAGTGTCTATGCAGTACTCAGCACTTACAGTTCCCAAAGATTTACACTGGAGATTGCTGGGTTGAATAATGTAGTCAGATACTCATACCTGTTTCCTAAAATTACCGAGTAAGAGAGTTTTCACATGAAGTCCCTGGCATGAGTTTCACTAGCACTGAATACAGCATATGCAAATGATTACAGCCATAGCCAATTGTGTATAAAATAAAGTGTTGTTAAAATGTATCTCCCACGTGGTTCCCCTCACTTATTTTGATTCATGTCCTGAAACTACCAAAACTATAGAACATACAAATCAGCTGCAAAAGTAAGCCACTAACTCTGTAAGGTAGCCGAGTCATACATTTAAATGCTACTAAATCTCTGATAAATATATCAAATAAATAAATCTCAAATAAATATTGGTTTGATTTTCATCTGCTTTTTTATAAGAACTGCTTATTACAGCTTTAGGAGTACTACCATACTCCAGCAGCAATCTCTTTGCAGTACCTTTAGGACTTCCAACACAATTCAACCACAGGACAGGTACAGAGGGCTTGGTTCTCATGGGCACACTTAGTTCTACAGTGAAAGTCAGAGCACACAGTGCATAAATTCCACTGTTCTCATTCTACCTACAGAAAATAAATCTAATATATTATTTCATGGCTTTGTCTACTCCCAAAGCACCTGATCTATAGCATTCTGATATCCAAGTTGTGCTGTGGGAGCAACATGGGGAGAAATTCATCAGAACATTGCTAGCTTATTCCATCTGAAGACTTGTCTCCCTCAGTTTTGGAATTTTGTGAATTGTTAATGCTATTTTCCACACTTCATTTTTTTTCCACACATTTCTTTCAAAATTTTACATTCAGACCCGTCTACAGTGGTTTTACTGTTACTGTCATAGTGATGGCTTCAGCATGTAAGCCTAGCAAGGCTTCTAAAGAAGTTGCAGAATTTTTTACAAAGACTGAGAAGGGGATATAAAAACCAGATAAGTTTATGAGCACAAAACCCTTTCTTTAGTGCTTAAGATTGCCTTCTCCTATAAACTTTGTCTTGATAGTGTTTACAGACACAAACATGCAAGTAGACCATCAAATATAAAACACAGGGTAGGAGGAAAGGATTAGTCAAACAGTGGCAGACACCACTGATTAATCAAGTTATGGTATCATTTAGCTAACACTAGACAAAGTGGTAAAGGATTTTAAACCATATGTATGTGTCTGTCCCAAACTCAGCCTACTCAAAACAGACTGCCTAGGAAAAAATTTGAAGCCATGTCAGAGAAGGCTGTCACACACACAACCACACTCAAAACTACATTATTTAATTTTGTAAATTTACCCTTTGCTGAGGACAGAAACTGATAGGATCTTGAAACATACACAGTCCAGAGTTTTAACCACTGGAGCTCCATCAAAAGTCATCAAAACAAAAGAGTAGAGGCTAGGCAGAAGTATGCATGCACACACACTTGCTGCAGATTTATCCTTTTCAAATCAATTTAAGGTTATACTTTATCTTCTTTAACTATTGGTAAACAACACTACTTAGTGTTTATGTCTTGCTTATTGAAGCTGGAATGACAGCTATAGTCTTTATACAACTTTCAATACTTGCTTTCATCCAATTCCCAGAACTAATGCGAGGTGTTACATTCTACTGTGACAGCTAGTTTGTCTTCTGAATGCCTCTTGCTGAAAGATATGTGCCTGACTTACTTTACACCATGTTAGCAGCCATTCAACTAAGTTGTTTTTTATTGCATCACCATACTAAGGCTTAAACAGTCCCTGCAAAATGCATAGCAGCTTTCTTATTAACAGAATACAGTTCAGATGTCATGGTGTTTACGCAAAAATGGATTTTCTCCTTACAGCTCAGCTCCCTGCTCCTCTATCCATGTCATTTTAGCCTCTTTGATAATGACTTAACCAGAAGCTGAATTTCACATAAGGGGAAGACAAATACTAGCTAACACTGCCACCCACTACAAAGGAAATACATAACTTTATTGTGAATATCTGGAAAAGTAAAAGCCCAAAAATCTTAGTGCAAAATGTGCAGTGCAAAACAGGGACACTTCATGAGATCTACACTTTTAAGAACACTGCTTTTGCACATGTTTTAAAAAAGTTTTTTGGCTTTTTTTTTTTTTCCCAAGAATTAATCCTGACTGTCCTAGGGCAGCCATCTTTTACTGAGTCCCTTTCTTCATTCTGAAGTGGCTAACAGTGATTTACCAATGCCAAATTTGCTTTTTCAAATCCAGATTGGTTCACTTCAGAGTGCTTGAAAGCTGTTGACAGCACTTCAGTAGCCTCTCTTATGTAAGCTGTATCTTACTGAAATTACAGGATTTTTCTTGGAAGGACATTTTGTACATAATTTCCACTCTTCCATTTTCATACGTATTTTTATCTAGGAAACTGACTACAGATCTGGTGAGTTCAGCTGCTTAGAACTAACCTATGTTTCATTAATTTGTGAGGCAAAGGTAGGTGAAAAAATTGGTGTTCTCTCACTGATTTTTCCTTGTAGGTAGAAAGAACATCTTTCCTGAAGAGTTTTCATTTGCATTAGATAACGTAGGAGAGCACATCCAAGTACTTCAGTCAGAAAGTGCGTGGTTTGTTCACTATGCCATGAGAAAGCTATTAATGATCCAGGTGTTCAACGTCATGCCCAATCTATTCTCTGAAACATAAATTCATGGTGTCTTAAGTTAGCATGATGGCTTCAGTTGTCTGCTTTCTCCTTCCAACAGATTTTTAGCCAACACAACTTTTGATGGCCTCAGTGGCCACATTAAGGTGAAAGGCTCCTCCGTTGTCAGCTCAGAAAACAACTTCTTCATCTGGAATCTGCAGCATGACCCTGTTGGAAACCCAATGTGGACTCGTCTGGGAAGCTGGCAAGAAGGAAAGATAATAACGGACTATGGGATATGGCCAGAACAGGCCCAGAGGCATAAAAATCACATGCAACACCCCACCCGGCTGCACCTCAGAGTGGTAACTCTCATTGAGCACCCATTTGTCTTTACAAGAGACGTAGATGATGAAGGTCTTTGCCCAGCCGGGCAGCTGTGCCTGGATCCTTTGACCAATGATTCAGCTGTGCTGGATAACCTGTTTGAAACCCTTCAAGGAGGGAATGACACTGTTCCCATTGAGCTGAAAAAGTGCTGCTATGGCTACTGCATTGACCTGCTGGAGAAGCTAGCTGAGGATATGAATTTTGATTTTGACTTGTACATTGTTGGTGATGGAAAATATGGAGCCTGGAAGAATGGCCACTGGACAGGGCTGGTGGGAGACCTTCTTTCTGGCACAGCTCACATGGCAGTCACATCGTTTAGCATTAACACTGCTCGCAGCCAAGTGATTGATTTCACCAGCCCTTTCTTTTCTACCAGCTTGGGTATCTTGGTGAGGACCAAAGACACAGCAGCTCCTATTGGAGCATTTATGTGGCCACTTCACTGGACTATGTGGCTGGGGATATTTGTTGCTCTGCACATCACAGCTATATTCCTCACCTTATATGAGTGGAAAAGTCCTTTTGGGATGACCCCCAAGGGAAGGAATAGGAACAAAGTCTTCTCTTTCTCCTCTGCCCTGAATGTATGCTATGCAATCCTGTTTGGAAGAACGGCTGCCATCAAACCCCCTAAGTGCTGGACTGGAAGGTTTTTAATGAATCTCTGGGCTATTTTCTGTCTGTTTTGTTTGTCCACATACACAGCCAACCTGGCTGCTGTCATGGTAGGAGAGAAGATCTATGAAGAGCTGTCTGGAATACATGACCCAAAGGTAAAGCATGTCTGTTGTTATTAACTCAGAATTTTCTTCTTCCCTGTCAAAATTCACTGCTGCATAATTTATAGTTTCTAATAAAATCAGAAAGCAATCCGCGTGTAAAGCAGCAGTGGCACTACAATTAGTTACTACCTGATAGCATTACAGTAGGAAAATTCAGTGACAGAGGATCTTTAAACATCCATAGAAGCGTAGGGGGTGGGTATCAAAGATTAAGGGTGAAGGAGAAGTTGAAAAATTTTGGTGTTGCCCAGTGCAGAAAAGAGAAGTGGCTTCTACGTGCAGATTAAGAGTTTGATTTCAGTTCTGAGTCCTTTCGGCTATTGTTGTTTCCACCAGTTGGATGATTTGGGTCATCCTGAGATCTACTCAAACAAAGTAAGCACGCTGGATGAAGAGAAAACCATTGATGTTCTAGGCAGGATTTTGCAATAATTTCCCAGGCCATAATGGTGCTTACAAAGGCTTTACTGGCAAAATTACCCATGAATGCTAAATCAAATGGAGCAGAACTGAAATCTTTTGAAAAATCCTACTTTCTGCATCAAAACAGTAGAATTCATTTTACAAGTAGTCAGACATTTGATTTGCAGTGTTGTTTCTGCTGAGAAACTGTCATGGAAGGAAATGAATTATTTTGTATACAACCCATCTGCAAATTGTTCAGACTTCCTAGCACTTTTTGGTAAGGCAAGGAAAAATGTAGAAGCAGGACTGCCTCTACCCACTCTCTCGCAAACTCCCAAGAGGGAATGAAGGGATCTTCGGTTGGAATTCAAGTCTGGTCATTTGTAAGACTTTTCTGATTTTCTTTGCTACTAAGTAATGATCACGAAAACATGCGTGCAGAAGAGTTTGTATAGAGAAGGCAGGGGACACAAGAGAAGGCATCATCTTCACCTGAAAGTGACTGTAGGGGACAGGTTGGCAACAGCATATTTCCTTTGTTTGGCACTTTCTCCAGTGAAGGTTTGGTTGTATTGTCCACAGTTTTATACTTATGACTGTGGTACAAAGCTTTGAAACCATTCATCATTAGTTTGTCACAGGTGAAGTGAATTGATACAACACTGTGCCACTGGAAAAAGTAATCTGAAGAACTCAAGAACTGAACATTTACTTTGCTTTCATAAATTGTGTACTTAAAGGTTACATATGTCCTTCCAGACAGGAAAGGCCAAGCTCCATCTGTTAAAACCTTGCATTCAGACTAATGACCAAACAGTTTTGACTTTGTTAGTACAACTTCTGTCTTATTTCCTCCAACTTTATCTAAATTGTTGCTACCAAAAATATTTTAAACAAAGAACAATACTCTTTGTGGTTGGCTTGAGGCACTCTAAAATTGATTTATGGCTTAAAGCAAATTGATACTAATAATCTGCCCTTCTTCTCCCAGAAAAAAGTAGCATAAATACTACATCAATAATTTCATCAATTTAAGGTTCAATTTAAGTCCAAAAATCATGTATTTGTTTTATTCAGAGCATTCTGAATAAGCAAATGAGATCTTTCATCTGAATTTCCACAGCTCCAGGAATATCTGTTATAGTCTCTGTTGTGTGAGACGTAACGTTGGCTTGAAAATTAGGTTAGTCCTCTACTCTTTGCATCAAGTAATTCATTAAATCAAATTGCATCAGATTATATTCTATTTTTCTGCATCATTACTGTAAACACACATGGAGTTCCTAAGAAAGGTATTGGAAAATTTCTGCACTTATAAGGAAATCAAGTTATTCTAAAGCTGTACTGTAAAGCTTGGCTTTTGATTTACAAAATTGAGCGCAGAGTATTGAAACATATGGGATGCTGCAAACACAGGTGTTAGTCATGAGCAAAAGCACTGATGGTTCACAGTTAATAACCTCAGTGATCCCATTAAATCAGTTTAGGAAATGTTTGTGGCATGACAGTTGCAAAGGTACGTGCACCACTTTTTAGTTAGTTACTTAAACCATTTTTTTATGTGATTTAAAGGTTTGTGTTTTTTCCCTCAGATCTGCTTACATCTTTCTTTTCAGTGGTGGAGACTCATTTCAAAAAGAAGGCAGCAGGATGCAGAAATAATCCTTTTAGTGTTAACATACTTTCAAACATTCTCCTGCTGCTCTCAGGATACATATGCCCTTGTACTATGCTTTTGAAATGTATTTAAAAAACAACGACCAAAATAGAGGAGCAACCTTCTAGGGTGATGTCAGACATAATTTCTTCAGGTTGTCAGCCACAGACAGCAAATCCCATCTGAGATTGCAAACAGTCAGGAAGATAGAGAAGTTGAGAAAAATTAAAAGGTTTTTCTCAAGATTAGAAACCTGGTATCTAAAGTCAGTATTGCCAGGAATATCTATGTTCTCTCTTCTGGTTAAAAATAGACAGGGTTAGATACTCTCTGAATAAATAGCATCTGACTTTCTACAAAAATTCATGTTACAACACTGATGTTTAATTGATCAAGCAGTACAGTGTTTTAGCTGTTACTCGTTGCAGCTCAGCAAAGGGAGCATGGTCCTCCCGTGTTGCTGAAGTCTCAAAGTACAACATTTTCATCAGAAAAACACTGTGAACCAGCAGCCTGCCTTTGGGCTGGTCTGATCATTTGTCCTAGCTGCCTGTAGTAGCTGGAGACAGCTGGCTTTATTCCTGACATCTCCTAAACCTGTTTATCACCTTGCTTATTGTATAGCTCCTCAGCTCCTTGGTGATGACATTATGCTCAGCTATACTTGAAAAAGCCATGACCCAAAGTCTTTATCCTTCACTGGGGCCAATGCACATTTCCACAGTGGCAAGATCAGGTTGCTGTAGGTATCTCCTTAAAACAGAGCTGGTGTTAGAGGAGCACATAGGGACGCAAATGGGGATAGGCAAGTCTAGACAGCTGGCCACTGTCATATTTTTCCTGACTCACAGGAGGTGATAGCGTTACAGATTTACAGCAGCAAGTGGAGTATGCAGCCTCACAGGGATGGGCCAAGCAGAAAATGGGCACATTGATAAGCAGAGGGCTCTGTGTACAAAAAAAAAGACAATGATACCATTCTGCTTCAGAAGGCTGGCTGTTTTTCTTTTTGCCAGCCTTTTGGCAAATCCAGAAATCCAGATACTTTATGTTTCGTTTTCCAGTATGATTTCTGTAAAGCGGTACTATATGCATATGAGTACCCTAGGTCTCAGTGGCACAGATAGGGAAAAGAAGAAATTATCTCTAAGTAAACAGCAATGTCAGTGCCTTCCTTTGCCCAGTAAGCCTGCAACTAAGGTCCAGATCCAGTAAAACTCTTCATTATCAAATCAAATAATAGGGTCTTGTATGACAAGATCTCCCCAGGGAGTGGATTTTTTTCAGTAGCAAGGGGACTTGAAGGAGGGACTGTGCTTTCAGGCTTCTAATGCAAGAGCACATGTTGGAGATGCACCATGAAGTCAGGAGTGTGTTGAGTAGTTCAGATTATCTGGGACAAAATAACTGTGGAAGCCCAGAGGAGAGAAGAAACATTTCAAACATGCCAACAAGAAAGTATACAACAGCAGAAGCTGAGGAGCTGGACAGATTTTCTGTAAGGTGGCCAATGCCTGGTCTTTCTTTCTAAAGGTGTCATTCTTTCAAAAATATGGTGAGCTCTTCAGATGCTGTCCCACCATTGTCGCTTTTTTGAGAATTGTCAGCTTTTCTTTACATTGTTTAGGATACACTTGAGTAGCTGTGTCTGTTAATTTACTGTGGTTATTTTTGTACTTCTCTGGACCACTTTATCTTCAAAACAGCTTTTGATAATGGCAAAGCTTCTTTCCACATTGTATTTTGACAAAAAATACCTAACCCATTGAGATTCATGTAACAAAAAGGGCTACACCTGTGAATCCCACCATCAGCAATTTCACTGTGTTGTCTCACCTGATTTTACATGTCTGCAGTGGAGACATTATATATGATTTACTCAGTCTAATATGCTTTCATAGTTGTATGGGAGAGGTAAGCATGTTGGGCTGCTGTTTAAGACGCTTAACTTCAGGACAAGGTCACCTAAACCACCCCCTGAAGGTGCCTACTTCTCTCCGTTGTGCATGGTGGTGTATTAGCATGGCCAGCACTGATGTGTGACAAATACTGTAGATGCCCCAAGGAATACACTGCAGACATCTACAATTATTCTGTCAAGCACCATCCCACAACAGCCTTGGTGTGCTTCGGGATTAGTCCTTAGAAATCTCTGCTTCTTTTCTAATCCATTGTCTGAACGGTTGCTCTTAAAAGCTGTCCATCTTTTTTTTACGGAAGTAAGCACTTTGAGTAATCCAGGCAAGATATTTCTGAGATTTTGTTACTCAGGAATTCAGTATGTACAATCCACTTGATTTTTGTTTCTACATTTAAAATATAAAATGTGAGGGTGCAAGCTCTCATTTCTGATATATTATAATCTCAGTTAATTTAGGGGCCTTATGGCCGCTATAGTATCAGTTAAATACTGTATTAAAACTGTCCCAAAATATCAATGGCAAGTAGCTGCATATGAGCTTTAGCAATGCCAAACCATAGAAAAGGAAAGGTCCAGCCACTTTATAGGCCTTTTTCATTACTAAACACATGATTCAAATACCCGTGCATTTAATGATATTTTCCATCAAGTTCGGCAAGCTTTAAAGTGAGGCCATAACTGTTGTGTGTTTATTGATAAATTTTTTTCCTGAAAAAGGGAAGTCTTCTAAGAAGTACACTGAAGAAAAGGCTCTTAAAGACTGCTGTGGTCTTTCATTGCAGAAATAAGATGAATCATTGTAAGAAGAGCCACTTGCACTTCTGTGTATTAAATATATAATGAAATATCATGCGTTTAAGTATGCCTTAAAGGCATTAAATTGTATAGCAGAAAAGAAGTAACAAACTCAGTAGAGTTAACAGAAATCTTATTGCTCCCATGTGGTCTAGTATCTGTACAGGACTGCAGGATTCTTTTCTTTTCACAATTAAAAGAATTGGCTGCAAA